GCGGCCGCCAGCAGCGCGGGCGCCGGCAGCGCGGGCGCCGGCAGCGCGGGCGCCAGCGCGGGCAGCGCTGAAGGCACCACAGGTGGCAGGTATCAAGCCGTCCAGGACAGTGGTGGAGGAAGGATCAACGATGCTATGCCGATGTAAAACGGGAGGGAAGGAATGTAAAATCAGTGAATGGACCTGGTATCAATAATAAGATGCCCGAGAAGGACTCCAAAAAGAAGGTGGAAGGGTTGGGACAGTTTGTTGAAGACAACGTGTATTTATTTCATGTTATTTCTATATAGGGCAACTCCTTGTAGAGGTTGGCCGGCCTAAAATGGCCAGGACCCCCCGCCACCCATTTTGACAGGGGTATGCATGATATGGAGACGCCCAGCTAGTGGCCACTCAGGCCTTCGCCCCCCAGGAGTCTGTTGCAGACCACGGAGGCCTACCGGCAGCACCAGGGCACCACAGCCGAGACCTTGTCGGACGTGGGCTCCTTGGATGGCGCGTTCTGGACCGGGACATGCCAAAACTCTATTAGTCAAATCAACTCAAACCCGAGGGTTGTTTTTTTTTTTTCGGAACTTTCAGAGCAAAGGTGCAGACTTGAAGTGTCCGTTTGGTCTTTGGCACATGCGAAACCGGAGGTTTATGGATCCTGATTCATGATGTTCAAGCAAACCCCCCAAACAAGCCCTCATGGACTAAGAGAAAGACCTTTTAGGTATATAATATATATGTATGTTATATATCGTGTTTTTGCCCTGTCCTACCTATACATATATATATATATGTACTTGCAGGATTGTCAATAACATGTCCAATTCTTAAGCGTCTGAGGCAATCCCTTTTTGTGTCTGGAGAAATGAACATCCAGTGTCCATTCCGAGCCCCGCGCAGAGCTAAACCAAGTGAAACACTCCGTCATTCGTCCGGTGCTCTGCGGCGCTTCGACGGCTCGCGTGCGTCCGGGTGTTGCTTTGGAGAGCTCTGGAAGCGAGGGCAGAACGTGAATTCCTCCATCTTCACTGTGTGAAACCATGTTGTTTCTACTAACACACGACTGCTCTTAAACGTAAGAAACAAACAGAACAATAGACAGCAAAAGCCTTTGGATGCAGTTTCTTTCCCCAGATGGGTGAAAGCTAAGGCAAAGGGGGTTCTGGCTTCTCAATGACTAGGTGGCTGATCGGTGTTTTGGTCCACGGTTGCAGCTGCTGCCTTGTCCGCCCATTTGTCTCCCCACTTGCTTGCCTGTGTGATTGGCGTTTTGTTTGTCGTTGCTGCCTTCGAGGGTCCTAGGTGGCAGTTTCGCTGCAGCCTTAGCCCACTTGCTTCCTGGGGTCTACGCTGGTGTAATTTTTCCCTTAGCCTTTCCAACGACCTTTGAATCCCAAAGAAGCCTTGTTTTCTCAAACACCCTATACTGTATAGTGGTACCCAAAGAGTAGATCGTGGAACTGTGTCCAATCAATACATTCTTAGTGGGGATCTACGAACTTCTAATTGTTTGGGGTCTCTATGGGTCTCTAATATGTCTAATTCCAAAAAACGCTGGGATGACACCGGTTCACGGTCCGACCTGCTCGCAACGATGTTTCGCTCGAAACTCCGAAGATCGACCGAAGGAAGACGATCCACCCAGCCACCGGCGAACGGCGAACGGCCGCCCGCGGACCCCAGCGATGGCATGTCAGGTTACCAGACCATGACCGCGGAGAAAGCTCAAGAGGTTGACCGTGCCCGCGCGAAGGTGGCGAAGGCGAGGACGCCGGTGCCTGAGATCCAAGCGATGGAGCAAGCGGTGCCACGTGCCACGAGTGCTTCTTGGTGCTGAAAGAACACCTGTGCGGGCAGGTAAGCGGGTGGGTGAGAGTGTGTGACGGCATGTGATGGCTGTTTCTTGATGTTTCTTTGGTTTCTTTCTATGTGAGATGGACATTCATGTGCTGGTTCTTTGCTGAAAGCGAGAATCTTTAGACCACATTTCCAAGACCCTTTGATCTCAAACTTGAAGCTCATGCAAGAACTGTTCAAAACCATCAGAGAGCGCGCCATTCATTGATGTTCAGATGAAATGAAATAAGTGGGATTCACGCCTATTGGGAGAACCGCAACAAATCCTCACTGTTAATAGCAAGCTGCTGAGGTTCCGCAAAAGAGAATCTTCGGCGGAGCTGGGCATGTGCTTTCGAAGGATCGTGCGGTGAGCAACACGAGCAAGAGATGAAGGCGTCTCGATTAGCAGGTCGAAGCCAGGCCAGCTTGCAGCGTCGACCGTGAGATGCAAAAAATCGGACATGATCCAATACTCAGCATTGTCTTGATCATGTTTGATCAGGGTTCCTGTGTACAGCACCCATGATTCATCATGATTCCGATGAACATGGGATAGAGGAATCGACGAATTCAGATTCCTGCAGAGAAAGTGCGGACAAATGCTTTGAGCATGCCGGAAGAATACGCACACCTGAATCTCCACATGATACACTAATTTGTCCATCAGAGGGTCGGCAACCCTTTGGGTGTGTCATGTTCTTGGAGGTGTCCTTTCTGCGTGTGCAAAGCATGTGAATCGCTAGATGCCATTTGTGCGCTAGCTGCTAGCTTCTCAACAACTCGGTACATGTTTTTAATTGTTATTTATATTTTTGTTCTCAGCACCACATTAGGATCTTCAGTGTTGGTTCCATGTCGTTAATAACCATCTCTGACCTTGTCGGCACATCTATATAATTACTCGTAAAGTATACTAGCTTACTTTCCACCATTGTACCTGGACCCAACTTCTGAGATACTTCTAGTACCTTAGGAAGACAATTGATGGCACACGACCCTATGAGGTACGTACTTGAGACACCAGGTCCGTGGTTCTGCAATCCAGCCAGAGCTGTTTGCAGCTGTTTGCAGCAAAACCATGCAAAACCTGGCTCAAAAGCGTGGCTTGCAAAGCATGTGTTTACTCAAGGCCGGGCAAGGCACCTGTCCCCCAGAATCAGACGCCGAGGCGTTCCTGCTTAAAGCTGCCTCAGCGGAGTTCGTACAGCAGAAAATGGGCTACTTTGTCTAGGTTACTTTGGAGAGTCCAGCTCCAGGTGGATGTTATTATGTGCCTCAAAACCCTGCAACCACCAGCACTTGAAAGCGAAACAGCACCCTAATAAGCCCGAACACATGCATACCAGGCATCCACTTGACGCTCGTATTGTGCTTTGGAAATCAACAGAAGCAAGCTCCGATATATGTGGGAAGGTATTTTGCTTTTTCTCAATCATATAAATCCGAATCGTTGTTCCAAAAAATGAAACTTAATCATATCATGTCATATCAATTCATATCATATTTAATTGAGGAGAACAGACCTACTCATGATGTCCCGGTGACTTCTAGACCCTTCCGCTTTCAAGAAGGCGGTGCGAAGACCCATCCCACCGGCCTTTCTTCCAGTGCTATGCCTGAGCGTCTTCCAGCTGCTTGGGCTACGGCGGTAGGCCAGTACAGCCAGCTGCCCAAGGGCTCATGGACCCCTCAAACTGTTTCAGGCCCCAAACCCTCGTTGTGACCGTCAAAACATGTCAAAACCCGCACAGCGAGCGGGCGGGGTCCAGACTCGTCCAGCCGGTGCTCAATCTGTAACCTACCTCGTTTGGGGGTGGTTTTCCCATTAAAAGTGAACGGAGGAAAAAGGTTAACCTTTTGTTTTTCAAGGGAAACCAGGTAAAGTCCCTAAAATCAGAGCTAGACCACCAGGACCTTCCGTGTCAGGTGTCTACCAGCCAGGTGATTTGAGGTGTCCAACTTCCCCACCGGACCCTTCGGGTGTCCTGATCTGGAGGAGGGTCGTCTCGGAGGCCAGGGAGAGGCCCTGGTGACTGGGCACCGTGGCTTCGTCTCGAAGGTCGCAGTACGTCGTGCAGGCCACACGAGCGACCCGGTGGATGTGCTGAAACAGCAGCTGAGGGAGGCGTTTTACCCGCGCGCGCGCGCGAGGGGTGCAAGAGGTGTCCGGGTGGAATGGTTTTTGGGATCATGGTTTTTTGCCGCATCCTGGGTTTTGCTAAGGGCTCGGGGATGGGTCAAAACTTGGAGACTTGGAGCCCTGCTAACAGCTGCCAAGGAGAATATCAACTGGAGGACGCTTATGAAGGCATTTTGTTGGGGGGTGAGGCTTTCCAATGGGGGTTATGGAATGTCTATACAAAGTGTCATTTATAGTTAATATAAACAATATATTCACCGCCCTAGACGAGTGCCTTTGCATTGAATCTAAGTAGGAAGAGCACACTTTGATTCACATATAGGACCCTGATTTTTGTGTGTTGCTTGCCGTGTTGTTGAACGCCGTTTCACTCCAGAAATCTTTGGAAATCATATTTGGGCTTTAGCCCCCCAGAAATTGACCCAACAGGTTTTTGTAAAACGATGTATTTCTCCCGGCTGCTCACAGGCTCAAAGCGCCCATGATGAGCTTTTGCAACAGATGAAAGTTGCGGAGCTGCTCGGCAGAAGCCCAGCGATCTCATGTGGTGCACGTCTTCTCTTGTCCAGCTCCGCAGCAGAATGCCGTCGCAGATGCTTCGGCCGTGTTCGGTCAAAAGAGATGTTCCACTCCAAAAGCCTTTTGCAGCCTTTTGCGAGTAGGAACCAGCAGGAGCTCTTCGTTTTGGTGAGGGGTGTCTTGGTCCGGCTATTCCACTCTTACACTGCCCGCGCACAGGTCGACTTGTGTGCCTTCTGGTCCCGGTTACAGCTGGTCCTGTTGTGAAGCTCTCCAGTATACGATTTTCCATCCCTGGATCTTCCATCTATGCAAGTTCTTCCTCTTGGCTGGTTTTGTTAGATGAACAGGCAGACATTTTGCACACCCTAGGGATCCACATACCCTCTGAGAAGGTGATTGGGGACTCCTTGATGTAGAGTTGCAGAGATGTTCAATTGGTGGATCGACATGGATCACTCGTCCACAGCTGATCGAATCTAGGCCCTTTAATGAGTATGAACAGCACTGCTACGTGTTCTTTTCCCTTTTTTCTGGTCCGCTCCATTTCGCTAGACGTTTTTGTTTTGTTGTTTCATGCCCGCCATTTCAGGAAGAGAGGAGGGATCAGTGATCAGGCACAGTGTCCCACGCAACCCGGTCACTGTCCACCCCGCCGAGACCTCCGCCCCGCTACGCCCCGCCTGTCACGCCGCTCCCAGGGGCACATGGAGAAGATGCATCGAAGAAGCTGAACAGAAGGCTGCGGTGCGGGTGACAGCGAACCGCAGACAGCGCACACCCATGCAGACCATGAGCGAACCGCGATCGGCGCAGTTAGTCGTGGGACCGAAATGAATGGGGGAAGCGGTGATCGGTTATCCTTCAGCTGCTGTGGGAGGAGGCCCCTGATAACTGGTAGTACCTTCAGGATCGTTGAGAACAAATCCGTGTTTGTCATGGCTCACAACTGACGTACGATCAGCCCCAAAAGACCCATGGATAACATGGGATAACAGCATTTTTGCTCCGTAAGAAGACCACAGGCCGACTACACTACACATCCATGTTTCTTTGGAGATAAGATAAAGTATATATGCGAGTGGGACCAAGATCCCTCAACAAGAACTGAGCAAGCCCTGTTCTTGGAACGGCAACCATTCAAAACATTTCAGCTGTGCTGGTTATTTCCGGTATGTTTATGTATGTTCAACCTGTACTCTATCCGTCACCCATGGTCACCCATCGGTCCTCAGATTCTTTTTGCGTTTCGTTTTCGTTGAAAGCACCGGATCCGCAGATGTTGCCCTTCCACTTTCTTCGATGCTTTCTACAACTCCTCTGTTTCGATGCGCGCGCCATGGCGCCATGCCACATGGCGCCACGCCACGACGTACCGCCCACAGCCCCCTCTCCGCTCTCCGCGTCAGGAGGCAGCAGCCAAGAAAGAGCTCCAAGGCTGCAAGGCGACGACGGACCGGAGAGACCTGAGAGATCTGAGAGGTGCCAGGAGCCTGGCAAGTGTGCCAGCCTGAGATAGCCTGGCACGTGTTTTTTTTGGAGACCTGGGGCACATCATGATTTTAGAGACCTGAGAATACCACCCCTGATCTTGAGTGATTTTGTATGTTTTTATCATGATGCTGAATTGGATAACATTTTGTTTGCGAGTTCGGTTCCCCAAATAAGGTGACTCGGGCACTCTCCCTGACACCCCATGTTCTTTTCGGACTTCTTGAATCTCAAACAAAGCAGGCGCTAGCTGCTAGTGTATGCATTGTATGTATTCAAACTGCCTCAGCTGCCCATTAAGTGTGGCATGCTGTTGTTTTGCTCACGCAAAGTGGCAGACTGCGAGGCAGTTCCCTCCTCAAAGTCTCGGTCGTCTCTTTTTTCTTCAAACGACTGCAGGTCATCGTGCGGGTTACCGCCCATGTCATGTGCTGACCATGGACGTGTTTTCACCGTGACCAGCGGTTGTGGCCCTTGGTATGACATGGTATGACGAGGTGAGGCTTATCTGCAGGACTGTCCATGGAACTATATTACCCAGCAGGATCCTGCAGAGACAACTAAGAAATATGTCAACCGCTAGTGAGCTAGGGAGCTTTCAGTTCCTGCCAGGCCCTTCTGGAGAAGCAGCGGCCCAGAAGAAGCTTGGAACTCTCCAGGTTCCGTGCGAAAAAAACACGCAGGTGGATTCTGGTCTTCCAGGGTTCCTTATCCTGAAGAAATCCTGCACAGATGAAGCGGCTCACTTGAAAAAGGATTGATCCCAGCTTCCAGTAGTTCTTCTGCTCTTTACCTTCGTGCATCAAATTGGGTTGTCTACTGCACCGGGTCGTTTCATGTAATTCCCTCCGAAGGGAGATGCAGAAATCAGCCAGTTTGATTTGAGGCATACTTGGAAACTGAACATCACCTGGGAGTAGCATGCCTGCAGCAGATCAGAGACTAACAAGGGCATCCTTAAGGTGCTGTAATCTTTCTGCCAGGAGAAGGCTTGTGGAAGGGAGTCCAACACAACAAGGTGCTGACCGTCCCGAGCCATGAGTGCCATGCAGCTTCGCCACTTCAGCTCAAGCGCGCAGCGCAGGGTCAGCGGTCATCCGGTCATTGGTCACCTTTATTTTCGGATCCAACCAGCATCCCCAACGAGCCATGTAAGGCGTAAAGAGTCTAAGGCGTTGCCATGTAAGGCAACGAGCCATGTAAGCCATGGCGTAAGGGTGAACAGCTCTTGTTTCCCATGAGTGTTCTTTTCCACCCAAGAGCTTGGAAAGTCGATTCCGATTGCTCCCACAGTCGATTCCTGGAAAGAAGGACTCGGACTCATGGCTGACCTCGACGGGAAATCGGAAGACCGAGTGGTTCTGTTTCTGGGGTCCAGCAGTGCTGGAACGTCCCTGGTCATCGATGAGCTTGCGTCACCACCAGGAGATGAGGATGATGTCACCACATCAGATATTGATGAGAGCTTGGAAGCCTCGTCCCACATCGTGTCCCGTGGACCCTTGGAGATGAGATACACCAAGTTTGATGGAAGCAAATCGAGCACCCGCATGGTCTTCACCGGCTCTCCTGGACTTCCAGATGCTAGTGGACTTGGAGTGAGCTTTTTGGATGAAATCATGGAACATGTGAAGCAACATCCGCCTCATGGCATTGTTTTCGTGCTGCGAGCGGATTGTCAGTACACGCCCGACTTGAAGTATGCTCTCATGGCCATGAAGGAATGTTTCAACAACATGCTCTCCGAGTCAAGGCTTCTCGTTTACGTCACGAATCTTCCGAGCCTTTCGACTCTCTTGGAAGAAGGCATCGAGGAGGATGAGGAGCAAGTAAAGAGACAAGAGGAGCTGGCACGAGACGTCGCCAATCATGTTGTCCACTACGCTTTGGGCCCAGACCATCTTGAAGGATTCCAGAATTTCATAGGACCAGGGCTTGCAAATAGACGTCGACCTTGGCACGACATGTTAACCTGGCATATACTCTGGTCACGAGTCACAAGCGCACAAATATGATGAAATAATGTATGTTAAAGCCTTCAATCCATTTTGGGCTGGCAGTCACACCCCAGTTGCTGTGTTTTTTTTCGGGAAGGCTCCATATCCTTTTGTCAGTACTGAGTGGGCTTGGGTTGATGAACAGCAACTGAATTTGGTGGGATTGACAGCAATGTTGAGAGGCATATACTTGTGGGATTGACTTGGCATAGGATTCAAATGGATTCTATATGTTTCAATTATATAGTGTCGTCTCCAAGAATCGACACGATCAACTGCTGAGGTTGTCACTGTATATTGTACTGTATGTTGCTATGACAAAGACACAAACACAATAGCTTCCATGTTGGTCATGTCATCGGTAACATCCTGGTCATTCTTGGTCTTCGTTTCTTCAGGACAGGTGGAAGAGAACGAGTCGGATTCGCTGGAGCGGCTCAAGACGCCCGGAGGATGTCTTCAAGGAAGTTTGTTACATACCTCGGACGTGAAAAGGCCACCGAGCTCGGTGGCAGCTATGATGTATCATGTGTTTCTGGTTTTCGTGGCTTTTTTACCTCTGGGAATGCTCCACATGAAATCACGGGAAAATCCGAATCCTTGAAAGACATAGCGTATCTTCATGGGGAGACCATCCACCAATGGGTACACTGGTCGATTGTCCGGGGCCCCTGAAGGAACGAACCGAGGCAGGCGAACGACCTGATACCGTTGTGATTGGGTCAAACACACCTCACCAAACACACACATGTTTATTGGGGTAGATCCTATGACCAAGGGATGATGGTGGGTGATGGTTGGTAAAGGCCAGACATCTCTAAATGAGCGATAGTTGTTTCCTGACGACTACAAGTCATGGGGGACGCCCAAGATACATCCATTGTCGTCCATTATGGATGTGGGTGCTGGCACCCGGGGACCCTATGGGGACCTCGGTTGACCAGCGGTGAACAGAATAGATGACCTCGGTGTCACCTGCAAGAAGCGTACCACTAGTGTACCCCTTTTCTATCCTTTTCTTGCTTTCTGGCCGGTCCACTTCACTGAGGAGAAGCCTCAATGACTTCCCCCTTCAGCCACTGAACTCCTCTCAGTTGCGTACCTGGCAAGAGGTGAAGAAGTACCTGGACACGGCCGAAGTCGCACCTGGACCATAAACGACGTGTTTCCTTTTTGGGCGCCGACAGGTGACAGACGGAGCGAGTGCGACTTAGGGCGATTGGGAAACAGACCACTTGGAGCTTGTTTGGCCCTTTGTAGCGTGGTGTCTTTTCTCTTTGGACCCTTTGTGCTTGCCTTCAGGTTTCTGGGACCCTATGTGCTTGCTTTCTTTTCTCTCTTGAGTTGTTTGGCCTTCCTTGTGTTTAAACTTATGGAACTACTGGGCCCTACACCTTGTTGGGAACCACCGTGTCAGACATCGACAAGCGTCAGACATTGGCAGTGGGGCATTTCCACCCGGAGCTCCAAACCGTGGTCAGCGGTCAACCAGGGTTTTTGCCGGGTCCCCATGTTTTGACCCACTGCCATACCCAGACACTCCACGTACCGTATGGTATATTTACCTACCATTGGGGTGGTGCCAGAGGGGTCAATGGGGCGGCACATATAACAGACATGGAGTGTTTGGGATAGTTATGTCGATGTTTTTTTGTATTCTTGTTGTCTTACTTTCAGTTGCCAAAAAGGGGCTGCCCCCCGATATTGACCCCATGTTGGCCCGATGTTCCCGGGTGCCTGGGTGAATCCCAAGCAACAGTTTCCTTTTTCCGGGCTTCCTGGACAGCACATCCAAGAAGAGGATCGGAAGATGATCGAAGGCAACTGGCGTGTGATTTTGGATCGCATTGAAGAGGACTTGGCCTTCACGCGGAAGTATGTGAGCGACTCTGAAGGCTTTATGGGTGACTTGGAGAGCAAAAAGAGGGGGGGTGGCCACTGGGACAGCACCATGTTTGCGGGATGCATGGGGGGCGGCAGTTGCTAGATGTGATTCATCACGTGCATGTTATATGCTGTGATTTGAGAAAGAGTTTTTCTTTTTTTTCGCGCAATAGCCAACTGACGGACGATTTTTTAGTTCGGGTAACGATCTTCTTTCAGACGCTCTTTCTCTCCCTTTTTTTGGGACCAGACGCTCCAAGCAAGCCTAGTAGGTCCCTCAAAACCATAGGGATTGGTGAGAAGGTCCGGACCCTACAGTGTACGGAATCCAATACAGTGTATGGCAGGAAGACGGTAACGCGGCCCATTGGCCGCAAGATCCATCGATCACTTCTTGACCCCTCACAGTGTTTGGCTTCGTAATGGCCTAGAACGGCCCTCCAGCTCATGAAGTCAGGTTTGGCCAAGAAAGTCGCTTGCGTTTCGATGACGGATGCTTTGCTGGAGATCCGAGCGAAGATCGAGCGGGCGCATAGCATGCTCGAGTTCTATAGGAAACGCTGGAAGGAGAAGGATGATGATCTTCAGTTGCTTTCCAGAGACCCAACTGGCAGCTTGGATCTCCAACTCAAGGCATTTTGCACAATGGAAACTATATAGCTCTCATGGTACTGGTAGGAGATAGATGCTTTTTCTATTGGTCTAGTCTATTTGTTTGCTGTTCCCAGAAGTGGATGTTTCACAGAATCAGTGACCTGTTTCATCTCCATTCCATTAAGCGACCACTCCCATCACTCCGGGTCGCTGATTTCAACACAACCAACGTCGAAGTCAGGAGCTCTTGCCAAAGAGAGGCAGAGGTGCCAGGCTGTTCGAGAGCAGCTCAAGAACTTGGAAGCTCAGATTCATGCTTCGGCCGAGCAGAAGCGGTCCAAGTTGTAGTTCCAAAAGATCAGTCGTGTTGGTAGGCATACTCGGGTAGCAACTCAATCTATCCACTGGAATTCAGTGGTGAGGGAATACCTCAAGTTGTGCAAAAGCCTTTGAGTCCAAGCCAATGAAGCGACATGACCTGCGGAAAAAAAAAAAGCTCGGAAATGTGGCAGACGACCTCGTCTAAGCATGTGAACTGAGCATGCGCGTCATGAGCTTCATGCCTTCAGTTTTAGGATGTTATATTCAAGTGCCAAAAACCATTACAACAAGTGTCGCACTCCAGTGACTTCAAGCAAACAGAGCACAAGACGGGGCTTTATCCAAACATCCACTTTACCTTATCTCACATCAAACACAGGTGTTTGATGAGCGCCTTTGGTCGAAAACGCCCGTCCAGCCAGTCGTCTCAGCGCTTCCGGCCTCGTGCCGTCGAGGCTCTTGCGGAAGCTGCAGCGGAACGTGGCGCATGGAACCTCAAAAACACGGTTCTCTCGGGCGACCGGTAGGGACGACGTGAATTGGACCGTTGATTGGCCATTGAAAGGCTGAGAGTTGTTTGATTCGAACTGTGGTATTTCTTGTGTTCACCCAATGCATACCCAAGGCCCAAGGTCATTAGCCGATTCAGAAACTAACCGATCAGGCAACTACGATTCAGAAACCAAAACAGCCGATTCAGCAACTACGATT